CAAAATGGACATATGTCCAGAAAAGGGGGGAAATTCTTGTAGGAATAATAATTATTATTATAATTACATATAAATACATCTTTATAGAAATACATATATATATATAGATATATATATATGGAGAGAAGAGAGAAGGGGGGATGGGGGAATTAGGGTTTGGGGGTTGCAGTGATCACATGAAGGGAAATTACTCACTTCACCAGTGCCGACTCTATGTCTATCTCCAGACGGGTCCTATGGGGACTCAGTCTAAGGCCTTGGAGAAGTTTGAAATCACTCTGTAACTAGGGCAGCACAAATGGGACTTTGTCCCAAGGCACAGACATGAGGTAGAGGTGACTGATGGATGTCCTCGAAGGTCCTCTTCACTACCCTCAAGTGCAGCTGTGCCCAGGGGCCTGCTGAATGCTGACCCTCTCCTGCCATCTGATTGGTTATAAAGGCTGAGCTCTCCAGTGGGCAGCTGTCCCTCATCTGAACTGGTCAAATGGACCTCTGTCCCTAGCTCTTCTCCCACTCTCAGCTCTTTTACCGCAGGTAAAATATGGTCATTAGAAGATAGATTTAGAACTGAAGGAACCGTAGAGACCACCTACCCAATTCCCTTATTTTACAGAGAAAGAAACTGAGGGTCAGCTGACTCATCAGAATCCCAGCTCTAAGTCTTTCACTTACCAGCTGTGTGACCTTGGTGGAGTTGCTCCCCTACAGGAGCCTCAGTTTCTGCATCTGTAAAGCGGGGATAATAACATTTGTGTTATGGTGAGCACCAAAGGCTTCCCATTCCAGAGCCAGCTTCCTTTCCACCCTGCGTTGGAGGAGAGGATCCCTGGAAGGAACTAAGAATCTTTAGCCCAGAGAAGGAGAAGAGAAGACATGAACACATAATCAGACAATGACTTGTCTGAGGGAAGAGCAATTAGGTTCATTTGGGCTTGGCCCCAGAAGGCCCCTAGGGCTGGGGACCCACAAATTTCTTAACTGTTATATGTCTAAAAGTGGAATGAGCTGCTACAGTAGGTAGTGAGCTCCCCATCACTGGCACTCTTCCAGTGGACCCTGGATAACCACTTGGGAACATAGGGAGGGAATTCTCAGGTAAGGTACAGGTTGGACTGAATGCCTCTGAGGTCCTGTCCAGCTCTGGAATTCTGTCATTTCATCCTTCGCCCTGTAGGATGGAGGTTAGGTTGGGCAGGAAGGAGGGAGGGCAATCTCTTGGCTGGGGGGTGTAGTGTGAACAAGTGACCTGACATCTGGGGGATCATAAGAAGACCTGCTTCACTCCAGCGGAGAATTTATTTTTTAAATTAATTAATCAATTAATTTTAGTTTTCAATATTCACTTCTATAAGATTTTGAGTTTTAAATTTTCTCCCCCCTCCCCAAGATGGCATGCAATGTGATATAGGTCATACATATACATTCATATTGAACATATTTCCACATTAGTCACATTGTAAAGAAGAATGAAAACCAAAGGAAAAAACCCACAAGAAAGAAGAGACAAAAACAAAAACAAAAAAAAGAGGGAAAATAGTATGCTTTGATCTGCATTCAGACGCCATAGTTCTTTCTGTGGATGTGGGTAGCATTTTCCATCATGAGTCTTTTGGAGTAGTCTTAGATCCTTGCATTGCTGAGAAAAGCCAAGTCTAGCTCCAGGTTTTTCTGAAGTCCGCCTGCTCATCATTTCTTATAGCACAATAGTTTTCCATTACATTCATCTACCACAACTTGTTCAGCCATTCCCCAGTTGATGGGCATCCTCTCAATTTCCAATTCTTGGCCACCACAAAAAGAGCTGCTAGAAATATTTTTGTACTTGTGGGTCCTTTGCCCATCTGTATGATCTCTTTGGGATACAGCCCTAGAAGTGCTATTGCTGGGTCAAAGGGTATGCACATTTTCATAGCCCTTAGGGCATAGTTCCAAACTGCTCTCCAGAATGGTTGGATCAGTTCACAGCTGTGTGGAGTGGAGAATTCTTACAGGCACAAGTGGGAAGTCAGATTGGGGGGTGCAGGATTGTGGGTGGTTTCCAATGCCAGGCCAGGTCCGCCGGGTTGGGGCCCTCAAGGTGGGGGCAGAAAGCCCTCAGAGCAGCCCTTGGCCTCTCTAGCTGAGCCCCTCAGGAATGATCTTGTGGGCTGGCTGTTTGGGGGGGCCTGGGGCAGGGGTGCTATGGATGGATTGGTTCAATGCTTTCCAGGCTGAGGCCTCAGTGGGGCTGGCTGGGTGGGCAGAGACCTGGATCTCACCCAGCAGGAATATCTAGGCCTCGAGAAGACCCTGTCCGTCCTCAACTTCCCCTCATCCTTCCTGGGGTGGAAGGTCTGGGCCAATTAGAGAAAACAGGGAGGAACAAAAATTACGGACATGCCATGCAAATGGCCTGTGAACTTCTATAAGCCTTTCACCTTCTATAAGCCTTTCCTTTCACCTCTTCCTGTGAATTAGGAATTCACATCGGGGAGAGAGCTTCTCTAGTATCCAAGTTGGCTTCTCAGTGTGAAAGTCAGATCTAGAATCCCAGTCTAGAAACGAGAGCATTTATTAAGTGCTTACTGTATACCAGGCACTGTGCCAAGGGCCCCGGGGGAACACAAAGAGAGAACTCCCCCCACTGACCCACAGTCCCTGCTCGTAACGAGCTTCCGTTCTAACGGCAGCCATGAGGATTCAGGATTTGCCATCTGAATTCTGGCTCCGCCAAGGGAGGAGCTGTATGGCCTTGGCTAAGTCATCTCACTCTCAGGGCCTCAGTTTCCTGATCTGTAAAGTAGAGACAAGAACATTCGCTGGCCTTATGGCAAAGGGTCATTGTGAGGAAAGTTCTGGAGGCCTTGGCAAGGCCTGGCCTATGACATCAAGGCAGAACGGCTTCAAGTGGGGCCAATCACTGAGGCCTGGCTCTGTAGTCCAGGGAGGCTCAACATCGCTAGGTGGGTGTAGGGAGGGAGAGATGTTTGGCTGCCAACCACAGTGTCTCTGTCTGGGAGAGGAGGCCCTACACTTGTGATGTCATAGATTCTGGAGGTATTATTCTAATTATTTTAAGTTTTATTAATTTTTTTTCTGTTTTTTATTGAACGGTATTTCCAGGGAGAATGCCTCTGTAACAAATGTCATGCCCAGGAGCACCCCCTCCCCACCTCCCAGGAGAAGTCTCCCAGAATACCCTAGGTTCAAGGTGCTCTCTCCACATCCACCATAGCTCTGGAGCCCCTAGCAAAGTATTCAGCTTTACTAATCAGCCAGAAGACACAATGTATTCAAAGCAAATGCATTTAATGAAACAGCATAGTGAGAAAAGCAGCTACAACATACTGTCCCTCCTAAACCCACCAAAACAAAGCATCAGTGGGAAAGATGGACACAAATGGGGAACACATGGGGAGAGGACAGAACAAACACAGGAACAGATGTGGTCGAGGTACAAACATGGAGGGACAACTCACACCTCCAGTGCTGCAGGGTATTGTGATCTAGTGACATCATTGCGCCCGCCTAGCCTGCTTCCAACCCGGATCATCTCCACCAGAAACGTGCCTACACGGCACATAGCTGTGGCGCTTTTCTGGGCCCACAAATTTATTTATTTTTTGGCTAGGCAATGGGATTGACTTGCCCAGGGTCGCACAGCTAGTAAGTTTTATATGTCTGAGACTGGATTTGAACTCAGGTCCTCCTGACTCCAGGGCCAGAGCTCTGTCCCCTGCGCCACCTGGCTGCTCCTCTGGGCTCACAATTTCAGGCTTCAGGGGAAGTCCTTGGCTCCAGGGCCTCCTAGCTCTTCCTCATGAGAAGAGTGGGCTCTATGGAGCTCTTTTAGTTCAAGGCCCCAGGAGGCTTAAAAAAAAAAAAGTGGCTATTTAGAAAAGCAGCCAAATGCGCTAAGGTTCAACAAAGCCTTCCTTCGGGTGAAAAACAAAGACAGAGCTTTCCCCCTCACAGGGCGAGCAGCTACAAAGGGCTCTCTCTCTGGCCGGAGGCTCTTCTCCCCGGTGCCAAACTTTGAAGAACAAAGAGCAGACACATCCCTACCCAAGTAGCTCGCGCCCTCAGGCTCAAGCCTGTCCCTTTGAACTCGGGTCCCCAGGCGAGGATGAAGCTTCCCACCGGCTCCTCCAGGACCTTCCTCAGAATCCCATCATCCATCCTTCGAGGGCTGCTCGCCCAACAACTGCCACGACATTCTGGGGTTCCAGGCCCCCCGTTTTACAACTCCAGTCTCTTTCTGCTCTCCAGTATAAGGTGGGGTGGGGCTGCATGCCCGGGGAGGAAGGGGACTTCTCTCCTACCCCCTTGTGTCTCCTCCCAGGCTTCGACGTGGCTTTGAGGCCATCCTTACGGGGAACCCCCCCCCCCAAAAAAAAGAAGAGTTAAGAATAACAACCCTCTATGACCACCGAGTAGACGGTCTGCAACAATCCGTGCCCCGAGTCCCCACGTGTCGGAGGAGCCTGGAGGAAGAGCCAGATGGGGCTGGGATACTGCAGGATGCGGGGGGGAAACTGAGGCTCACGGAGGGGCCTTGCCAGGGTCCCTCCCAGAGCCTTTTCCCTTCTACTTCATGCTGCAGCTCAAAGAGGGGGAAACTGAGGCCCGGAGAGGACAAGGGACCCGCCCAGGGTCACCAGACTCCAAGTCCAGCGATGTGTCCACCTCTAGATCGGGGCACCATTTTGCGGAGGAGGCTGCGGAGGTCAGGCACGGGCGGGACCAGAACGCGCTCCCCCACCCCGCCCTCGGGCTCTGGAACCAGCCGTTTCCCTCGAGGGCGGGGCTTAGCGCCGCGGAGGTGCCACGTGACTCGGTCTCCGTGGCAACGCCTCAGCGCGTCCCAAGCTCTCTCCCTCCGGGCGAATCCCCGCCTCCCTCGTCTCCAGCACCGCGAGAGGGCCCGGAAGCGCGCCCCGCCCCCCGCGGCCGCGAGTGGACGATCGGACGATGACGTCACCCCCAGAGCCGAGGAGCGAGCCCAGCGGCCGCGGCGCCGGCGCTTGCGTCACTTCCGGCGCGGTGTTTGTTAGCGGCGGCGGCAACGGCGACATGGCTCTGAACGGAGCAGGTGGGACCGGGCCGGGGCCAGGGGAGGAGCGGGGCGGAGGCTGGGGCCGGGCCGGGCCGGGCCGGGCCGGGGGTGGGCCCCGGGGAGGAGCGCAGGCCTCGGGCCGGGGCCGGAGGTGGGGGAGGGAGGCCCCGGGCGCCGCAGGGCCTCCTCACCCGCCCCGGGGCGCCGCGTCTACAGAGGCGGGCGAATCGGACTGGGAGCCGCCTTCCGAGGCCGAGACCAAGGTGCTGCAGGCGCGACGCGAGCGGCAGGATCGCATCTCCCGCCTCATGGGCGACTACCTGCTGTGTGGCTACCGCATGCTGGGGGACACGTGCCAGGACTGCGGGGTGCGTGGCCGCGCCCGGCCCCCCCTCGGTCACGCCCCTCGGGGCGGGGGGGCGGGGGCGGGGCAGGAAGTACCCAGCCAGTGGGCTTCCTTAGAGGAGGTGACATCCGGCTGAGCCTGTCAGAGCAGGGGAAAGGCCGGGGCGCTTGTCATTTACTAGTGGAGTCTCCCCCCTTTCGCACCGCCCACCTCTTCGCATCCCTAGCTCCCTTCACAGCCCGGCCGGCCCTGGTGCAACCGCCTGAGGGCTGGATCTGGAGTCTGGACCTGGGATCAGTTTCCATCTTGGGATGGGCCTTGGGTCATATCTCCCTCATCAGTAAAAAGGGGCATGTTAGAGAACAGATGCTTCTTTTTTTTTTTGTTTTGTTTTGTTTTGGGCAATTGGGGTTAAGTGACTTGCCCAGGGTCACACAGCTAGTAAGCGTCAAGTGTCTGAGGCCGGATTTGAACTCGGGTTGTACTGACTTCAGGGCCGGTGCTCTATCCACTGTGCCACCTAGCTGCCCCTGAGAGCAGATGCTTCTGAGGACCCTCCCAGCTCTAAATGGGTGATCCTGAGATCCTTCACCAGGCCATTAGCGTTCTCTCTCCCTGTAAAATCACTCGGCATATTTGTCTGTTTCCTGTATCCCCTTTACCAGTCTATTCTGGGAAGCTGCCGAGATGCAAATATATAGCAGTTGTAAATGGGACTGGGCCATGCCCAGCAGATACGGGCAGGGACCGCTGCGTACCAGAGCTGGGAGATGTAGACGATCGCTCCATCCCGTCTGTTCATTCGTTCACTCGAGCATTTATTGAGCAGTAGGAGGAAACGGCTTCCTTGGGATCACATAGAGAGTAGTGGAGCTCCTCTCTGACTTTTTTCCAGACCATTTTACTCCAAGACAAACAGCGAAAAACTTACTGTGTAGCTTGTCAGGAGCTGAATTCAGACGTGGACAAAGATAACCCAGGTGAGGGGGTCTTGGGGATCCTTAGGCTGGGAGAAGATCTGGGCATCCCAGAGGTGGAGAAGATACTGTTTCTGGGTCAGGGAAGCAAAGGTGATCAAGGGCTTGCCTCATCAGTCTGACTCTGAAGTACTGTAGGCAGTGTGCGGAGGGAGTCGAGCGGGAGGAGAAGAATCAGCCCTGATCTGGGGGCGCAGCCTCACAGGGCTAATGCCCTCTCGGTCTCCCCTGTGATGTCCTCTTCCTTCCAGCTCTGAATGCCCAGGCTGCTCTCTCCCAAGCCCGCGAACACCAGCTAGCGTCCTCAGAGCTCCCCACTGCTTCTCGACCGGCCCCACAGCCCCCTGTCCCCCGGCCAGAGCACTGTGAGGGGGCGGCTGCTGGGCTCAGGGCTGCCCAGGGGCCTTCTCCCACCTTGGCTCCCACAGCCTCTCTGGCCCCGGATGTCCTGGCAGCCTCGCAGTCAGCTTTGCTTCAGAAACTCGCGTGGGCCTCGGGAGAACTGGGCCCCAGCACCTCTTTGGAAGGAAGCATCCAGCTCTGCACCCTGATCCGGGTCTGTGCTGAAGCTCTGCAGGGGATTCGGCAGCTGCAGCAGTGAGGGGTCTTGGGGAGGAAGAAGGGCCCCAGGGCCTTGGCCTCGGCTAGTGTGTGGGTCCGGGATTTGTTGTGAATGGCTGCAAGAGAAAGGCGCAGACAAAACCCTTGCCCTGTGTGGTGTGGTTTGTTCCTTCCCTCTCCTGCCGTGGTGCTTGTGTGTCTTGCCGCTCGCCCAGCAGAGGCCTGTGCTGGCTGCCCTCCTAGCTTTGCTCTTGTGTGACCAGTCGTGTGGATTCTGGGCCTCAGTGATCTCACAGGGGAAACGACAGCTCGGCTTCCTCGATCTCTCCAGGTTGGTCCCTGCCCAGAATCTTTAGACACTTTCCTACTGCCCCTTTCCTGGGAGAGGTATCCTGGCGTACTTGAGCTGGTGTATGAGATGAAGCAGGACATGACCCAGAACTCTCTTTTTTTTTCCCTTTTTGGTGAGGCAATTGGGGTTAAGTGACTTGCCCAGGGTTACACAGCTAGTACGTGTCAAGTGTCTGAGGTCGGATTTGAACTCAGGTCCTCCTGACTCCAAGGCTGGAGCTTGAAACACCTAGCTGCCCCCAGAACTCTTAAAGGAAAGGAGAGAACCCAGCCCCTGGATGCCCTGGCCCTGTGCCTCCCTTTCCTAGGCTTAGAGCCCGAAGGTCCCCAGAGAGGGTCCTTCTGTCATGGATGAGGAAGCAGACTTAGGGAGATTTTTGAATTGCCTGAGGTTACTTAGCCAATGAAAAGCCAAATTGGGGGTGAGATGGAGGGGGGATCTAGGTGATGAAAACAAAAGACATAAATACTGCCCCTCCCCTCCCCAAGAAAAGGGGTGGGATTGAAACCAGGATCTAAGTTTGCACTACTGGGCCATCGCCGTGGAGATGGGGGTCAGCAGGGTCCCAGATCAGGTCCAAACTTGGGTGTGGAAAATGAAGGGGGGACAGGAAGAGCCGAAGGTTGGACGGGCTCTCGGTGACCATGGAGTCCGCCCACGTAGTCCTCGATAGGGCTTAGATCAAGAGCCTCAGGAGAGCGGGCTTAGCCCACCCACGTGTTGCAAGTGAGGAGAATATCTCGAGCTCCCCTTATAACCCACTCAAGTGGGGTCCAGCCCTTAGCCGTCTGGGCCGCGAAGCCATAGGGGCTCTGCCTAGCCCCCCCCCTCCGTCCCGCCTCCCACTGGTGTCTCCTCCCATCTTAAAGGAGCTGCGTCCTTTTCCCCTTCTCCCTGTTGGGCCTCCCTTAGGAGCATCCCAAGGAGATTGGATCTGGGGTGAATTCCTTTTCTTTCTCGCCTCCCGCCCCATGCTTGGCTCTTAAACTCTTCCCCAGTTCGGTCCCCCTGCCACATCGAAGCACTGTGGGGAGCCGCTCGGACAGTCCGGTTTCCTTTTACGAAAGGCTCCGCCCCTTTGGCCGAGGGGAGGGGGCGCAGGGTGGGGCTTCTCCGGGGCCGAACAAAGCCGGCGCTCAGTGGGGCAGCGGCGCCCGGGCCGGGCCGGGCCGGGCCGGGGCCAGGGCCGGGCGGCCAGAGGAGAGGAAGAGGAGGGCAGGAGGGGGCCAGGTGCCGGGGTCCATTTTCTTAGCGGACCCCCGCGTCGTGCCCATGAACGGGTTGCCTGGGGGCCCTGCGCCCGCGCCCGCGCCCTTGGGCTGCCCTCTCGAGGGGCTCCCGCCGCTGCCCCGGGGGCTCAGCGGCCTCCTCAACTCGAGCGGGGGTTCGTGGAGGGACCTGGAGCGCGTCTACAGCCAGCGGAACCGCATCCAGGACGAGCTGAGCCGGGCTGGCCGCGCCCCCGAGGGACCCTCGCAGCCCCCGCGCCGCCCCGCCAACCTGGACTCAGCCCTGGCGGTGTTGCGGAAGGAGATGGTGCGGGTCGGCCCGGGAGAGGGGGATGGGATGAGATGAGATGGGATGGGATCGCGGGGGCAGGGCTAGGATGCTGGGGAGGCAGGATGGATGGCTGGGGTGTGCTGGGATGGAGAGGCAGGAGCTGTGAAGGGGGAGCAGAATGGCCAGCGGTTGCTGTGACGGGGTAGAGGACCGAGGTGGCCTAAAGGAGCTGCCATGGGGGAAGCGGGATGGCCTGGGGATAGGCACGGTGTCAGGGGGAAGGAGAGGGCGTCACGCCTTCCGGGATACTCATTGGGGTCCCTCCTAACGCCGCCCTGCCCCTCCCCAGGTGGGCCTCCGCCAGCTGGACATGTCTCTGCTGTGCCAGCTGTGCTCTCTGCACGAGTCCATCCAAGACTACAAGCACCTGTGCCAGGACATGAGCCTGTGCCAGGACATGTCATCGTCCCTGCACTCGGACAGCTCCTACCCCCCGGACACCGGCTTCTCTGACGATGAGGACGAGCCGCCAGACTGCAGCCTGCCCCGGGACCCGCCCCCGCTCCGAGTCCCCCAGACTCACAATTCCCGGGATAAGTGGCTGCAGGACTCATTCAGTCTCTGAGGACGGGTCCCTGGCCCTGATGCCCTCTGGAGGCCCATCGACGCTGGGCTCGAAGCTGCAGGCAGGGCCTAGCCCATTCCACCTTCCCCCACATAGTGCAGGCAGGTACACACACACGCACACACACACACACACACACTCCCACACTCATTCAGTCACTCTCCCTGAACCCTCTGATCTCTCACTGTGCTAGTTACCGGGAATGGCTGGGGCCGGTAGGTGGGAGAAGCTGGTTTCCTTACCTTCTCTTTCAGTCACTTCTCTCAGAGGAGAGATATTGACCTGCTAGAGATCCAGGCTCCACATTATCTCCCATCCACTCCCAGGCCCAGCTGTCAGTGGATTCACCCCATTCACCCTGATGCCCTCTTCTCCCCCGCTTCCGTTCAAGGGCTCCCAGGCAAGCTCAGCTCTCTTGAGGCCAATCACTTGGGCAAGGGAAGGAGCATCTGAAGCACCTTCACCCTTAGCACCTTGGCCAGACCGATAGAGCCTCTCCTGCCACCAACAGTCAGTCTGGCTCCACATCCAAAAAGGGAGCTAGCTGGCTCTGTTGTGGGGGCAAATAGCATGGCAAAGGAGAACAGCTCCATCACTCATTTCTTGCTGCCCCGGTAGGAGTAGCGTTCAGCAAGCGGGGCGGTCATGTATAATGCTGGCTTGGCTATTGGGTAAGGCCCAGCCCAAAGGTCGGCCTTGCTCCCCACTTGGCAATGGGGAGGGCTGGGGCTCAGGTCTATGCCCAATATTTAACGTACTGGGGTCTCGGCCTTGGGACCCCACAAATAAATAAATGGCTCTCTCTGCGCAGTTCTTGTCTTTTGTAAGCTAGGGATGGGAAGAGGTGTGTCCGGACAATGGAGGTGAGCTGTAGCATCTCCTTCTACCGGTAGGTGGGGCTGGAGCAGCACGGCTGGGTCAGGGCCCTCTGAAGTTGCTTATGACTGGCGGCGTTTGCCACTTGCCAGGCCTGTGTGCAAAGCCTTGGCCTGGGAGTCTGGAGCGCTGGGCTCTGAGCCCTGTTCTGCCCGTAACGGGATGGGGTTGTGCTAGCTGCGACAAGAAGACCCTACCCCTCCCTGGGCCCCCCATTTCCTCTTCTGTAAAAACCAGTGCCTTCTGGCTAAATTTGACCCCATCTGGAGCCAAGGGGGATGGGGGTGGGGAGGAAGTGGAAGGAACCGTCCATCTTGAGGAGAGAAACTTTCCACCCAGCCTGGGGGTGGAGTTGAAGCTAAGGCTGGGGCTCCCGCTGGGGCAGGAAGTAAGAGGGCTACACTCCCAGACCCATCTTTGGGGACGTTCCCCTGGGGAGGAAGGGAGGGAGGAAGGAACCAGCTGAGGGGGCTTTCTTCCCCACCCTATCCCTATCCAAGGAAGGAGAGTTAGATTACAAACTTGAGAGGGACCTTGGGGATAGCCCAGCTCTAAGGGAAGAGGGCAGGACTGTGCATTTATGGGGGGGGGGGGGGGGGGAGTGAGAAGCTTGCAGATACTTAAAATAATACATTCCAAACTCCTTTCTCATTCAGGCCCCTCGTCAAACATTACAGCTCATGCAGTCTCAGAGTTCTCAGAAGTCTGCACAGTTCAACAGTCCCACAGCTGAGCCACACCCAGCTCGGGAACCCCCCCCCCCACACACACACCAGGAAACAGTGCTGAAGCCCGCCTAGGTTCACCACAAACACCCCCGCCCCCCCACAAGCCTTTACAAAGAGTAAAGGGCCCTGGAACCCAGCCATCACTGGTGAATAATTCTCGGAGCTCGGCATCTGCTCTCCAAGCAGATCAAACAGACTCCAGAGAATAGAATAGGGATTGATCATCAGTAACAACTGATGTCTTTATATGCTGTCTTCTTTATTTGTTTTGGGTTTTTTTTTGTTTTCTTTTTGGTGAGGCAGTTGGGGTTAAGTGACTTGCCCAGGGTCACACAGCTAGTGAATATCACACGTCTGAGGCCGAATTTGAACTCAGGTCCTCCTGACTCCAGGACCAGTGAGTGCTCTGTCGGCTGTGCCATCTAGCTGCCCCCTGCTCTCTTCTTTAGACCTCACGACAACCCTGCATGGTAGGTCCCAAGGGTAGTATGGTCCCCATTTTACAGATGAGAAAACTGAGTCTTTAGAGATTAAGTAACTCGCCCAAGCTCATACACCTAGTAAGTGTCAGAAGCACGGTTCGAACCTCAGTCTTCCAATCTTTGGTCCAGTGCTCTGCTCACTCCTATCTCACCTCTCAATCTGGATTCTCTTCTGTCAACACATTGGGGTACTTATGGTACGTGTTTAGGAAGCAGACACCCAGTTCATCCCTTCCTCCTCCCCTTAGGTGTCCATTTTTGTTCCCACACCAGTCTATACTTCCACTCCCTCCCCCTCCCCAGGGACAGCGATAGGGACCTGGCCTGGGATTTCACCCTGATAGGGAATTCCCATCTGAGGAAACTCCCTTTGCTGATGCAGGCAGGCACCTTTCACCCACCTCATCAAGAGATTGCTTGTCCCCTTAGCTCACTGAAAGCTGCAGTCACCTGCTCAGAGCCATCCAGGCAGTATGGAGCAGAGGGGGGAACCCAGGTCTTAACTGGCTCCACGGCAATCTAGCCACTAGACCAGACTTGCACCTCTCAACCCCACCCGAACAGTGGGAGATTCGCACAAAGTGCCAGTCCAAAGGAAGCTCACCCCCCACCCCGATTTGCAGGCATGACAACCCACTTTTCTGCAGACCTCTCCCCCCTTCACACACACGCACACACGCCTTCCTTCCCAACTCAGTTCCCGCACAGGATGCTGTCCTAACAACCTCGGGCTAAATGGACAGAAAGGACACCGAGCGCAGCTCCCCGCCAGGAGCGCACACACTCAGCGCCCTCGGCCAGCCCCTCCTGCCGGCCTCCCTCGGCCAAGGGAGTCAGTCCCTTCCCCGGCAGCCCTCCCAGTGCTGGCAGAGCCCCTTAGGGGCCCAATGACCCCCACTTTGGGGAGGCTGGTCCCGGGGCCCGCGCCCACGAGGGAGCACGGGAGCGCACAGGCCGCCTCTGACAGCCTGCGCCCGCCCAAGCCTGGCCACCCGCCTGCCGGCCCGCAGAATTTACACCACACCTCCCGGCCTCTCCCCTCCTTCTCCACCTCCTGGCCTCGCGGGCTTCCAGGTCCCAGGGCCAGCCTCCCCCTCCCCCCCCGCCCCGCCCCACCCCCTTCCCCGCCCTCCTTCCGTCGGGGTGGGGGGGGGGTGCGGCTCCAGGAAACCGGCGCCCAGTCGCCTCGCTCCGAGTGTCCGTCAGCTATCCTGGAGCGTGTCCCCAACCCTGCCGGGAGCTCCCAAACTCGGGTCAGAGAAGAGCCCGGGTCCGAGACTTCGTCCTAGCTGCCCAAGCCTAGACTGGACAGGACGGGACGGGACGCGTTTAGACCCGAGCGAAGGGGCGCTCCGCACTGAGACCTGGAACTGTCGGGCCTCGGACTTTGAGACACCAGCGTCTGAGAGTTGGGGTCAGTGAGTGACCAGTAGCATCCACTCACCCAGCCCGGCCTATGGTACCCGGAATGGAGCCCCGCGGCCCGGCCGGGGCTGCTGACAACCGCGTCTGAGGGGAGGGGGCCAGGGAGGGGGAGAGGCCATGACCTCGGTGTGGAAGCGGCTCCAGCGCGTGGGTAAACGCGCCGCCAAGTTCCATTTCGTGGCGTGCTATCAGGAGCTGGTGGTGGAGTGCACCAAGAAATGGTGAGTGAGTGTGTTCAGTGCATGTGGGAGCAGTGTGGTCGGGAGGGGCTCACTCCTGCCTCCCCCTGCGCCCACACACACACACACACACACACACACACACACACACGCTGTGCCCCCTTCCCAGGCTGGCACTGCCCTCTCTCTTTCTTCCCTCCCCCACTGCCCTGGGTCAGCACCCATGCTCCAGCCCCTCCATGCCCTCACTCTGTGCCCTCTCCTCAAGCTGGCCCTTCTCCCCTTCCCCTCCTTAGTGGGGGGCGGGATGCCTCTCACATCCTTCTGTCTGGCAGGAGGAGGGCCCATCCTCCCAGCTCAGGGGTCTGTCAGTCAGACGGAGCCTCCTCAAAAATGGGGCCCCGAGGAGAGTTTGAGGAGGCAGACATGAGGAAGGAGACTTTTGAAGGGGGGCCCTTCTGGGTAACAGGACTATTCAGTGTAGCGTGTCGCCAGCTGCCTTCCACATGAGGGGGAACAGGGATTGGCAGATGACGGGCAGCTGCCTGCTTACTTCTCAGGACCAGGGTGTAGGGGGAGGTGAAAGCCCCCAGAACTCTGCAGAACTCTACCTCACTTCTTAAGTCAGACCCCAGCCCTCTTGCCCCTTCCTACCACGTTGGCCATCAGAAGCCCAGCTCCCTCTCCCTGCGTCCCTTAGATAGGAATGAGGATTGGTTCAGGGTGCGGTTAGGAAGCAGGAATGGCAAATCTCTGGGGGTCTGGGCTAAGGGGGGGCATTGCTGACTAGCCAAGTATAAGATCAGAGGAAGGGACAGAGAGCTTCTTCTCCAGCTCTTCCCCCAGCCAGAGAAGGGGAAGAAATAGGACAAAGATGCCTGGCAGGGCAGGGAGCCATGAGGCTGAGAGATTTCTCTGAAATGCCCTTAAAAGGGGAAACTGAGACCGTAGGGAGGTGAGGGAAGAGAAGGAGGAGGCCGTAAGCTTAAAGGGGACTGGAGAGAATTATAGAGGAGGAGGAGGAGGAGGAGGAGGAGGAGGAGGGGGAAGAGAGTGAAAAGCTTGGGATCCCAGGGAGCGGGGGGAACAGAAGCTCAAAAAGGAGCCCAGAGCCCAGAGCAAGGGGAAAGGCCCTGGGGAAAGGAGGAGAGAAAGAAGAGCAAGACGGACAGACCTCCACGGGGAAGGCAGTGGGGCAGGGCTCCCATGAGCAGGCCTCAGCCTGCCTAGAGCTCCCCTGTGCCATCTCTCTGACTGGGGCCCTCTCATCTTGTGGTCTGGGTGACCCAGCTCAAAGCAGGGCCAGGTGGCTTCCTGGCAGCCAGCCCCCTCCAGCTGCTTCTTGTCCCCTCGTCATACCCTAAATATACCCTAGGCAGCCCGGGTGTCAGCTTCCCCTCCGGAGTCAGGATTAGGGCCGCAGCTGCCGGTACCCTCTCTTCCCGTCCTGCCCCTCCAGAGGGCTAAAATTAGGCTTCAGAGTACAAGGGGCCTAGGAGGGTGTTGGGGGGGGGTGCGGTGCAGGCAGAGCAAAGGAGGGCTAACTCACAATAAGAGAATTTTCCTTGCTCCTTGCAGGGAAAAGATAGCTGGCCTGAGAACGTCCCCGTCCCCATCATGTAATGACAGTAATTCTGGCTGAGTCATTTCTTCTCTGAACCTCAGTTTTCTCATCTGTCAAGGAGGGCTAATCATCTGGGCAGGGATACTGGGAGTCTGGTGGAAATGATGCTGAGCAAAGGGCCAGGCCAAGGGCAGAGCGGCCCTGGGGCTGGGCAGAGCCCTGGGTGGGTCCCAGCTGTTAGTCTGGGTCGTTGACTCAGGAGGCGTCCCTGTCCCTCCTGGAGCGGTGGAGCTTCGGGGTGTCGGGGTGAGGCTGGGAGTCACTTTTCTGTTCCTACCCTGGGGAACCAGCCTAAGTAGAGGTCACAGGATCAGAGGATGTCTGAGCTGGAAGGAACCTTGAGCCAAGCCTCTCATTTGACAGATGAGGAAACTGAGACCATGAGAAAGAAGGGTGGAGATTTCTCCAGAGTCACACAGGCAGGATTCAGACCTAGGCTCCAGCCCTTTCTGGCTTTGGGTCTTGCTGTGGACACGCTTTCTAACTAGCTCTCTATATGCTCCATACCCAACCCACTGTAATACCCCCTACAGGCCCCTATAATCCTAGGGGTCTGTGTGGGGGCGGGGTGTCAGCTATGGACCCTGGGGCCAGAGGCCGAGCTTTGGGGGTAGCTAGCAAAGCATGCTGGCCTCAGGCCTGAGGCCCATGAGCCTGAGAGCGGAGCTAGTGGGCTGAAAGGCAGAGAGCGCACCTGCTTGTATCAGCTGGCTGGTCGCTTCGCCCATTCCTACTTGGCAGTGTCCCAGCCTGAGTCAGTCCAGCCCCACCCTTTGAGGGCCAACAACCAGTGCCCGGCCCTCTCGCCTGCCCCCAGCAGAACTCCCCAAACAGAGGCTACTTCCCTTTAAGAAGCCTCTTCTCTTCTCCCAGAGGTGATGGGGATCTCATGTTTAAGCAGCTGAGTTAGGTTCAAAGACCTTTACTTAGTTTTCCAGGCTCTCCCTCTCCACTTTCCAGCTTTGTCCCATTGTGCTGCCCTCCAAGAATGCCTCCTGGACATTCTTGCCAAACTGCCCTCCCACACACAAACATTTTCCCACCTCTGTGTCTTTGCTTGCTCTGTGCCTGCCTCTCCACCTTTACTGAATCCTTACCAACTCAAATGTCACCTCCTCCTTCCCTGATTCTTGCCCCGCCCCAATCCTGTAAATGCCACTAAGGCAGGGACTGTTTCTTGTCCAAACCTGGCCTCTCCTCTGCGCCCTGAACGCGGTAGATGCCAAGTTGGTCAAATGGATGAATATAAGGGGGCAGGGCAAAGAATTCTCTTTCCTTTCCCCCTACAACCAAAGTAGGGAGCCCCTGCCTTCTCCTGCAGAGAGAGCTGCCGCTCTGCCATTGGGTGTTGGACATGAAGCTGAGCAGAGCCAGAGAAAGGCCGGGCCCCAACAGTCCTTTCCTCCTTTTCTGCGTGTCTGCAGGGTGTCCCTGTATGCTGCAGGCGGCTGTCTGGGCCACCACCTGGTTTCTGCCTCTGTCTGTGGATGGCTGTGTGTCTGCCTGCCTGTCCTCTCCTGTCCTCTGTCAGCCCGCTCTCTCCCAGCCCCTTCTCTTTCTACCCTTTGCCCTATTGCCCCCATGCTCCACCCTGCCCTAGAGTCTCCACCCTACGACTGTGCCCCAAGATAAGGGAACCAGCCGCCTGACCCTTCCCTTCCATGGCAGCTGGAGGGTGAGCAGGACATGGGGGGCAGCCCCAGCAAGCTTCCTCCCTTTCTGTCTGCTTGGTCTCGCCCTTAGGCAGCCAGACAAATTGGTGGTGGTATGGACCCGGAGAAACCGACGCATCTGCTCCAAGGTAAGGCTCCCCAGACCCAGGGGTGAACCATTTCTGGATGAGTCCACGTTGCCTCCTGGTGCTTGGATGGGAAACCTGAGAGTTGGGGGAGAGGCAGGGTTAGGGAGGGAGATCTGGGGGCTCAGAAATCTTTCCACAGGCCCACAGCTGGCAGCCCGGGATCCAGAACCCTTATCGGGGCATGGTGGTGTGGATGGTGCCAGAGAACGTGGATATCTCTGTGACACTCTACCGGGTGAGCCCTCATACACCCCAGGGCACTGGGCAGGCAGGCACACGGGACCCCAACAGGATTTGGTCAAGGGTCTGACACAGGCCTGATGGGGACATCCAGGAGGCAGCAGTGATGCTGACTGAACTCAGCAAGGATTTATGGGGCACTACCTGTATGCAGAGCCCTGAGTTCTGATAAGACACAGAGCCAGGCTGAATAGAGCTCAGGGTCCAGTGGAGAAACAGAATACTGATTCCTTTTTGGAATTCAGACCTCTGATTTCTGCAGGGTAGGAAATTCACTGCACCAATGAAGAAAGAAAGGGAGGGAGGAGGAAAGAAAGGGAGGGGGAAGGAGGGAGGGAGAGAGGGAAGGAGAAAGGGAGGGAGGGAGGACTTATTAAATGCCTTAAATTCTTATTTATTAAATCCCTGCTATGTGCCAGGGGCTGTGCTAAGCACCTTACAGATATGATTTCATTTGCTACCCAAGTCTTCACCCTTTCATCTTAGAGAGATTCCTGGGGCACTGAATGATTTGCCCTGCATCACCCCTCCCATATCAGACACAGGATTAGAACCCAGGTCTTCATGACTCTGGGCTGCCCACTAAGCCTCTCTGCTTCTCCTCACCATTGTCATCATTGATGGTTCCCATGGAATTATCACATTTTACAAAACCTTTGACCTGGATAATAACAGTGACAAGAATGATGATAATCACTCTAAGGTTTTATGGATTCTAAAGCAATTAATTACCTCCCAACAATGCCAGGAGGTGAGTAGTGTGGGAAATACTATCCTCATTTGACAGAAAGGGACACTGAGGCACAGAGTGGGTAAAGCCTGGATCACACACGCAATGGGAACCCCATGGGAACTCTCCTACTTAAACGATTCCTTTTGTTTTCACAAAAATCGTTTATTTCCTTTTTACTTGTCATCCATCTCCCAGCCCCAACCCTACCTTCTAACAGTAACAACAAATAAAATACATTTTGCAAAAGAATCAATCCCAGTGACCTTATCTGAGAGTCTTTAAAATATTCCGCACCTGTAGTCCCCCCCCACCTCTGTACTGGGGGAAAGCAAGTATGCTCCATCTTGAGGTCCCCAGAACGGAGACTGGCCATTGATAATTCATCAGGGTTCCCCGGGAGCCTCTGTTTTTCAAGCTGAGATGACACATGGCATCGGTGTGGAGCAGACAGGCATTGTCACAGACTGGCGTGGGCAGAGGGCTGCCTCTTCTCGTTATCTCTGCCTCCTCCTCATCTCTCTCGCCTTCTTCCAAAGTGCTCTTGACCCTGGTCATGTTTACTGGCTCTCCAGGACACTCTGGAAGTGGAGAGGGATTTCTGTCCCGTTTGAGAGAAGAGGAAACTGAGGCTCTGAGAGGTCCCCCTAAGGCCCACATGTTCCCATAGCCCTCGGTTCGGCTCCCTCCCACTTACCTGGAGCCCAAAGCCCCTGGTCCCTTCCCCGCCCCCCTCCTTCATCTGCTCCTGGCCTCTTATTCTCGCTCTGGACCACCTGCAGGACCCCCACGTGGAGCAGTACGAGGCCAAGGAATGGACATTCGTCATCGAGAATGTGAGTGAGAGTCTGGAGTTTTGAAATTCGTGTATACTTGTTTTTTATGTTACCGTATTTATATTATATTATTCAATCGAACTCCCCCCAATTAACTGGCCGCTATGTGTCAGATGCACTGCTATGGGCTGAGTCCCTGCCCTCAGGGAGCTTCCATTCTGCTAGGTTACTAAACACATAAGCTCCTAGAGACCATCTAGTCCAACCCTCATTTTACAGAGGGGGAAACTGAGGCCCAGGAAGGACACCCAAGCAGGCGCCTCACCTCGTAGCTCTAGAGCCAGGAGAGCCCTCAGAGAGTATTTATTCCCCCTTCATTTTGTAGACGAAGGAAACGAGGCCCACAGGGGCCACGTGACTCGCCCAAGGTCACCCCGCTAGGCCTCGAATCCAGATCCCCCTGTCGGGAAGCTGGTCAGCATGTTTCCTGGGTTCCCTCCTCTGATGTCTGGGGGGTCTGGGGGCTCGTGTGTCATCTGGGCACCAGCTCTCGCCCATCCCCCTGAGCTGGACAGGCATGGGGTCCAGACACACTGGACTGTGGCCTTCTGACTAACTTTGGTGGCCCGAGTTGGTAAATGGCAGTGTAGGGGCTCGATCTCCCAGGGCACACACAGTTCTCTGACATCAAGTCCCTCTCTTCTCTCCCAGGAGTCCAAGGGGCAGCGCAAGGTGCTGGCCACTGCAGACGTGGACCTGTCCCGCCATGCGGGGCCTGTCCCGTCCCAGGTGCCCCTGCGGTTGAAATTAAAGCCAAAATCAGTGAAAGTGCTGAATGCAGAGCTGAGCCTAACCCTGTCTGGGGTCTTGGTCAGGGAAGGCCGAGCCACGTGAGTGCCTTTCCCATAGTCTTCATGCCTTTCCCATCTCAATCCAATTTAATTCAGCAAGAATTATTAAGCACCCACCGTGTGCCAGGCCCTGGAGCTACAAAAATAAAAATTGATAAAAATGTCCTCAGTAAGCTTCCATTCTAATGGGGAGACCATATATACATGATATATACAATTTCAGGGGAAGCTGAGTGCATCAACAATTAGGGGCTGTCGGGAGAGCCCCACCCCGACCCCTACTCCTCCCCACCCCGACCCCTACTCGCACTCCATGTAGATGGCATTATTTAAGTGGAACTTGGGAAGGCCCACTGGGTGTGGGGCACAGCCTATGCAAAGGCACAGGAGAGGGGAGATGGCTTAAGACAGTTTAGGAATGGGGGAAGGGAAGGTGCAATTACCGGCTCTTGCCCTCAGGGATGATGACATGCAGAGCTTAGCCAGTCTGATGAGTGTGAAGCCCAGCGACGTGGGGAACCTGGAGGATTTTGCTGAGAGCGATGAAGAGGATGCAGTGGGACAGGGGGCCCCTGAGGCCCGGGCCAGGCCTGCCCAGCCAGGTGGGGTCTGGGAGAGGGCCCCAAGTCCGAGTTGGGTCTGAGCTGCTCCTTGTAGATTGGCACCGATGAGCCGTGGGGGCGTGTAGAGACCCTCCAGGCCCGCTCTGCGCCCCACCTCTTCACCCCTCAGGCTTTTTCTCTCCTTTACCTCTGTCTCCTCGGTTTCTGCTCTGCTATCTTTCCTGGTCTCTCCTCCATCTCTGTAGGTCGGGCTCCAGCCCTGAGGTCGGGGCACTTCCCAGGTACGACCCCAGCTCTCTCTTCGGGGTGGAGGGTCTGGTCTGTATGGGGGGCCCTGGGGAGCTGGTCTCCCATTCTCCACCCCTTGTGCCACTCGCAGATCCATCCCGGGAGCTGAACACTGTGTGTGAGGAGGAGGAAGGAGGGAGGTCTGGCTCTGGGGCCATCTCCAGGAAGGGAGGTGAGGCCGGGAGGCCGCTTGGGGGAGGGGGAGCTGGGGCCCATGTTGAGCGGGTGGCAGGGGGCAGCCCCCGAGGGGAGGAGGACGGGCTGAGCTGCCCTCCTCAGACTGTCCCTTCCTTTGCCAGCAGCGGCCTCTGCCCACCCTGCCACCCACCCTGCGTCCCAGGCTCCACTGGAGGAGGGTGGTGTTAAGGAGCCCAGCCCAGCCCCTGTAAGTGCCCCCGCCCCTGCCCCTGCGCCCCCTCTCAGGGCTTCCCGGGGCCAGGGAGTCAGGGGGCATCGAGGCCTGCCGAGCCCGGGGGGCCAGCCCGGGGAAGAGACGGAAGCCGCCGGGGGCAGGACGGGCACCGAGACCCAGCCGCTCCAGGGACCCGAGCAGGAGATAAGGTGAGGGCTCTGAAGAGGAAGCAGTCAGCGTCAGAGAAGGGGAACAGAGTGGCAGCATAGTGGGAGGGCATGGGGGGATTACGAGGCCTGAGGCCACAGAATCCATGCTCATTTTCCAGAAGAGTAAACCGAGGCCCCAGGGAGAGTCGGTGCGTGTGCCCAGGGCTCAAGCCCGGCTCCTCTCTCTGCCTCTCGCCTGGGGCTCATTCTCCACCCCCACCCCCTCTTGCCATGCTACTCCGGCTCTTCCAGGAAATGCAGTTTCCCCAGATCACTTCCCTCTTAGCTGGGCCTTGGCGCCAGCCCCCTCTCCAGGCACCTCTCTTGCCGCTCCCTGCTTCCTCCTCTGTGTCTCAACTGGTTTCAAGTGGGAAGTTCTGGGCCCAAAAGAAGGGAGACCGGGGGAGGCTGATTTCAGGGAGGGGGAAGGGCCAGGCCGGTCCCCCCCCCCCCCCCCCCGGCTCAGGAGAATGGCCACCGCCCCCCTGCACCCAACCCCTCCAGCCAACAAGGAGGAATCCCCAGGGGACCCCCCAGGGGAGCAGGCAGGACCCATAGGAGGGGGAGCCCATCAGTTAGAGCTTGGAGCTCGAGAGAGAGGTCGAGGGAGCATCCAAGCCAGGGATGCATCTCAGGAGGGAGAAGGAGGAGGAGGAGAGGAAGGAGTGCCCCCCCAGAGGGTTGGAGGGGCCTTGGACAGGGACAGAGATGGGCAGGCAGCTGTGAGCGCTGAGAACCAGGAGATGGGGCAAGGAGTAGGGGAGGTCCGGAGCCAAGGGGCAAGGGCTGGGGAGGGGGCTAAAGCCAAAGACGAGGAGGAGGAGGAGGCTGGGAGGGGGCCAGAAGCCAGAGGGGGAGCACTGGAGGAGGCTGCAGATGCCACCGAGAAGTCTGGGAGGGGGCCAGAGGCCAGGGAGGCAGCAGACGCCACAGAGGAGGCTGGGAGGAAGCCAGAGGCCCCCGGAGGGGCCCACAGGAGGGGCCAGTCAGGAGTAGCCACTAATGAGGTCCCCCATGAAGCAACTTCGGGCCAAGAAATTAGGAGGCCAGAGGTTAGGGAAGCAGATGAGAAAGTAAAACGGCCTCGAGTCCAGGACCACGGCCCTGCAGAACCCCAGGGGCCAGGCCAGCATCCTCCAGCTCAAGAGAATGAGAGCCCAGAGGCCCCCAAGCCAGTCCATGGAGCTGGGCCTGGGGCTGAGGCAGAAGCCATCAGGGGCCCTGGGGAGCTTCCCTTGGGCAGAGCAGAAAGATCTTCAGGACAGGAGAAGGACAGTGGGAGAGCAGAGGAGAGGGGCCAAGAGGGGACAGGGACCCTGGGGGTCCCTACCACGGGAGCCGAAGGCACCATGGCCCAGGTGAGCAGGACTGGCGCTCATCCAGGGAGCATGGACAGATGGGTGCATGGGGCCGGGGCTGGGCTAAAAGGGACTGAGGACAAGGGCGCTGGGATGCTGAGGGGCAGGGAGGAGCTAGGGGTCGGAGTAGGGGGTGCTCAGAGAATAGGGCCTGAGGTAGTGGGGATTAAGGAAGTGGGGGCTGGGATGAGGGAGGCAGAATTTTGGATATTGGGGAATAGGGAGATAGGAGCTGAGAGACTGGGGATGAAGGAGACAGAATCTGGGGTGTCAGAGACCCAAGAGACAAAAATTGAGATTCAGGCACTTGAGATAGTGGGGACTAAGGCTATAGAACCTGGGGTACTGGGGACTGAGGAGACAGAAGCAGAGATTTTGGCCCCTGGTACATTGGGAACTGAGGAGATGGAAGCTGGGGTGTTGAAAATGACCGAGACAGAGCCTGGGGTATTGGGGACTGAAGAGACATCGACACCTGAGATAGTGGGG